GTGAACTGTTGGAAGCAGTTCAAGCTGGAAAAGAAGTGGTGTATTCAATTGTGACACATTTGTTGAAACTTTGAAAACCAGGAAAATTTCTCGAGCAGGCAATGTTAAGTGATGTTTTTGATGACTGTGACATTGCACACTGTCACTCTGCACATGTGTCTGTTTCCTTATATATTTTCTGCCAAAGCCACAAACAAAGATATATGGCAGTTAACTCGCGTCCTGTTTCCTGTCTTATGCAAGTGTCATTCTGCACTTTATTACCTTAGAAGTACTTGCTGCTAGGCAGGTTGGTATGACATTATTAGGGAAAATTCTAGAGGATGCTAATGTGTGGTGCAGTGTAAATATTTTCTGTAGTTCAGCTGCGACCGATGCTCTTTTTCTGTGCTTTTTCATTTTTCCAGTGGTGCTTAGGCATCTATAATTTTCCCCCTTAGCTTAATTACCTCCCTGAAGCTATGCATCATCTTGCCCATTAACAAGCATTGTTAAACTATTGTATGTGGCATTGTTGATGCAAAATGACCTTAGAGTATATGCTAAAGCTCCTGCAGGATCACCGGCTGAATGTGACAACCAGTTCACCATTTATAGGACCCGAAGTATTGACATTTTCAATATATCTGTTTGCACAGTGCTTCATTGGAGTCATGCAAGCTTAAAATATGGTGCTCCCACAGAGAAATTTTTCTTCCTGTGCTGTGACCAACGGGAAAATTATGTAGACAATAATGAAAAGAGATCACAACTAGGCTTAGCTGTGTGATGTCTGCCTCAATAAAAATGTAATAAATTAATGCAAGTGTGCTTATATCACCATGGTGTTGCCAGTTTATTACTACATTTGATATGAGCCTCTGCTCGCTCCACCATGGTGTTCCTGGGGATGTACACAGTTCTACCTCTGAGACAGCATTGCGAGAACTAATTTCACTGTCAGAATCTTGAACAGGTGTACGACAAGCAGAAGCCAGTGCAGAGAACACAAGAGAAGTGGTCACTGCTTACATGTTCAAGGTCCTATGCACGCACATCAGACTATGATTTTACAGTGTCTTACATTTTGAGTGGAGTATACATGGTGATGGCTGGAGCCATCTCTGTGGGCACCAGCTAGACTGTCACAACGTGGATACTGTTGCTTGAGACAACTGTTTAGGACAAAAAGGGCAGAAAAAAAAATTTTAGGCTAATGTAAGGGCTTGTGGTGAGGAGACTCTCAAAAGGTATATGGTGTGTCATCTTGCAATAGAGAAATAACATTTATACCTAGTTTGTGTTAGTAGGAGTCTGCGAAACATTGGCCATACAAGCTTGTGGCTAGAGAAGGATGATGTCCAGAAGATGCCTTCCTGAAATGTTAACCTGCACCGTCCTCCCTTGCCCTTCTTAATGCACTGGAATTTTTGCCCTATAGGTACTAATTTCTTTAGTGGGTACTCTTGAAGGGCTTCTGAATAAGCTCACTCTTACCACCTGCTTTACCCAAGGGCAAATCCTACTGTTGGAACTTATTTGCTTGGCAGAAATTTTTAACAGGAAAAGAAGCTTCACTCGTTACACAAATAAAGCTACAGCATTGCAAGATTACTATGATGTTATGTACACAGACTTACCACATACAACTAACTAAAATCTCACCACTTACCTCTATGGTGAGCCTGATTATGCCTTCAAGACAGCATGTAAGTTCCTTGATACTATACTTTTTAATGAGTACAAGAACCTTGAAAAAACAAGATCATCACGTGCAGTCCGTAAAACCAGTGCTTATGAACTGCAATGATGCCATCGAAAGCAGCAGCGAAAGTAAATTCACCCTGCTGGAATGCAAATTCTGCATGAAGCCTGTAAATGTACTGTTAACAAAGTCTTCTCGACAACTTCATTATGTCTATTTCTGCGATTTGCATAATCCTGTTTCATACATACCTTGCTGTTCACCCTATAATTATTGACCTCTGAGTGTTACTCAAGTGACCATGCTCATTTAACATACCTGCAAGCCTCAGTGCTAACCTAATGAAATTGGAGACTTTAATAAAGTAATGCTCTCTAATGGTCACCCCTTCAAAAAAAGTTTTTAGCATCCCCTGAAAACCTATTCTTTAAAAAGTTGATCATCAGAGATGCGATGTATCTCCACACCTGATGACAGACATTTGTCCAATTACAGCCACATTATAACAACAAGCGGCCTTTGTAAGATGCGTGAACACGTGCCATCATCTCAGGTCAACATGTTTCCTGAAACCAGCTTGCTCTTAGTTATGCGACAGAATGGTTTTCATAAATCCTTTTCTTGCTAAGCTCAACTTGCCCCATGACAAACTGTGTGTTTAATTTTAGACCATTCTTGGGGAGCTATTTTTCTTAATAACTAAAGAAAGCCCGATAAAGTGAAGCATGAGCTTTTAAAAGGAAATTTGCAAAACATGCACAATCGTCTCCAGTACCTAGCCTGAGTATATATTTCACTAATAATGATCATTTTCATTTTAGAACACATATCTGATGGCACAAAATCTGGAGTACCAAGGAGTCTGTCACAGGTATTTTTCACTTCTTTATTGGGGGCCATGCAACAATTTTAAATTATTCATGCGATATACTAGAAGTTTACTGTGGTGTGAATCCCTTGCCACAATTAAAAAAATAATTATGGGGGAACATATGGACTCTTTACAAAGGTTGAAGTTGGTGCTGATGCCGTCTGTCGCATCACCAATAATGAGACCACGACCGGCTTTATTATTTATTTATTATTTATAAAGCCGGTCGTGAATGAGACAAAGCACGGCGCATCGCATTAGGCCTAATAGCAGTGCTACGCTTCCATTTCACACACACACACACGCGCGCGCATAATGTATGCTTTACTGCAATACACTGCAAGCACTCCACCCCATGACACTGCTGTATTGCAGCAATGTTAACTTTTAAAAAGACCTTTACGGGTTAGCAATTGAAGCTTGACAATGCTCCCAGCTATGAAATTTCTATTTTATTACATTTTTTTTCATTTTTATACACTTGCCTAAACTAGTGTTACCAGCCGTCCCGAATTTCGCTGGACTGTCCAAGACTTTGCCCGCGCTGTCCCAGTCGGGACAAATGTCCCCGAGTTTTTACGGACTGTTCAGTAAACGAAAAAAAAAAAAGAAACGTTTTGCGTTATAAAAGACATGCCAAATAACGAGCGTCCATCTGATCACATAGACAAAGAAATGTTGCTGTGGTTAGCTGCAAGGAACTTTAAACACTTTAGCGTCAACTTTTACTAGAGCATTCTAGAGCGAGAGGAAGTGTCACGAAGAGCACATAGCAAAATTTAGTGCCACATCAAGAGACCGACGCAATGAAGAGAAGAAATAACGGATTTGTTTGGAAGGCACCGCAACAAAGAAAACTAATTTCCTCACCCACACACAACTACCTTCACTGTTGGTTACCCCAATCTAAACACACACTGCTAAGCAAACAAATTGCCATCATCTGCGGCTGCTTGATAAAGCCACTCGGACAAGAACGTTCTCTAATTCCAACTTGTGCATTCCGTATCTATCTCGCGCACTTACGTAAGAACAAGCTTCAATGAAAGCGTTGGCACAGTATATACTTCCTCCCAAGTGACACCAGCTGTTCGATCGGTCCTCAAGGAACACGCATGCACCTACCATACATCCGCGTAGTACATGCATCAGACCAAAATTCACAAATCGCGTTCCAAAGGCCTTTATTTTATGCTCGTTGTCATTGCTTGTAGATTTGGTGGCAAACACTTCGGGCTGGTAGGTGCTAATTCTGTGCTTCGGGCGAATGACGTTAACTCCTGAACACGGCGACATTTATTTATTTATTTTTATTTATCACATACTGCGGACCAAGTATGGTCCATGCAGGAGAGGGCAATACAGTACAAAATTCTTCTACATACATACACTTCCGCTGCAGTATACATTCACTGCAGAACAAAATTCATGTACATGTACATTAAAAACTCATGAAAAACAAAGGACAAATACAGGCAAAGAAGCAGACTTAAGCAACAAAAAAAGGGTATAGTTTCATCTCGGCGTGTTGAGCATAGGGGAATCATGGGGCAGAGCATTCCAATCAGAGACAGTTCTCGGGAAAAATGAATACTTGTAAATGTTAGTGCGTGCAAATATAGGTGTAATGCTACGACTATGTTTATGACGTGAAGACCTGGTTGTGTCCTGTGTTATGTAATCTGGTGCGTGCAATCCTGATCTGGAAAAGTATAAAAGGCGGAAAAAGTTAAGCCGTGCAGTTTTCCTTCGATCGGCCAAAAGTTGGAGGTTCGCATCCTGCAACAGGGCTGACGGCGAATCGCGATATCTATACCGGTTGTATATAAATCGAGCAGCTAATCGTTGTATTTTTTCTATTTTCTGTATATTACCAGCTGTGTGGGGGTCCCACACAATGCTGGCATATTCAAGAGAAGGACGAACTATGACTTTATAGGCTCTAAGTTTTAGTGAACTAGAAGAACGACCCAATTTATATTTTAGAAAGCCTAATTTTCTCCTGGCAGCAGAACATATATCATCAATATGTGCTGTCCAGGTAAGCTTCGATGTAATCGTTACGCCCAAGTACTTGAATTCTTCTACTTGCCTGATAGCGTATCCACCTACATTCCGGAATTAAGAAAAGCGGCAGCGACTTGCGTATGAATCACTTTCTAACAACAGAAAGCGACCACGACCCCACGGGCAGAGGCGGTTCTCGCCATTTCAAGCAGATTACAGTCCAATCCAACACCAACATCGGAGAAAAAAACATCACGACTACAATACGATGAACCCGCCACAGACTGTGTGTCACAAGCTAGTGAGGAACTCTACCTGAACCACAGAATAAAGAACGCCCAAATCGCCTGAAAAATGTTTTCCAACACACCGATGTTAACGCCATCTATTCATACACTTTAAGCCAAGTCAAGCCGGTTTTAAGCGGCTATTGGGTGAACCGAACGCTTTTGCCTCGAAAAGGTTCGTGCCACCGGGGGAACCGAAACACTTCCGGAGAAATTCGACGGTGTACTGGTGACAAGCGTGGTGACGGGATATTTTAAACTGTCACTTGACGTTCATTCGAGACTGCTGCAGTAGCTGTTCGCCCTTGACTGCATTCGTCGGTAGATAAAAGAAATTCAGCTGCCTGCGTCATGGTTCAACTGCTGGTTCTCCCGCCAGCGGCTGCCGGCCAGTCGGGTGCCTTTGGCAAGCTCACCGGTGAGAATCGGTTCCGCAGAAATTTCATTTCACGTGTGGCGGGCTGGCACTCGCAAAGCTCGTTTTCGCGGTGTCGTTTTTTTATGCCAGGCAGTTCAGCAGAGGGGTGAAGCAGTTGGCGTCTGGGACGATCCAGCCACTGTGCTCTGCTAAAAATGAATAGTACTCACAAGCTAGCGGGGTGACGATGGGACCAGAAGGAATGTAAGCAGATGGTCTATACGCAGGTTAGACCATATAAATTGGCTCGCCGATGAACTAATTCAATAAAGGCTCCATAATTGCAACTCGAAAAGCACTAAAAATTGTTCGAATGAGCAGACATCGCGCAACACTGCGCGGCTAGAGCCCAAGGATACCACCTCAAGACTCGTTGTTAACGCCTACTAGGCGCCACTTACACGTTTATTTTGTGAATTTCAGCGCATGGTTCCCTGAGAGCGATCAGTCAGTAGTTAACCAAAAACAATCGCTGACATGCATTCATGTTAGCAATGAGCCACAATGCTGTTTATGCTCGAAAGCACTTTTATACGTGGCAGAATTAACAGAACCGAAATTAAAAATAATGAGTAATTTGCAATTGCCTGCGTTTCTTCCGTCACGACTCCATGGACATCGTTTGCAGCTTGTTCAAGAGCTCCAGCAGAGTGTCTGAATTCTCATCTGCTGAGGAATGCTGCTGTTTTGTTGTTTTGCATCTGCAGTAAGTTTAGTTTGGTTATGCAACGCGTGGGGATCACACTGGGGTGACTTCTTTGAGGAGTGATGAAAACCAGGGCTAAATTAACCATTGTGGATGCTGATGTGTTCAAATTACCAAGACTCATAAAAATTGGCAGGGCTGTGCCAAGACCAAGGCATTACTTCATACTAAGTTAAAATTGATGAGCCGCTACTGTATAACATATATAAACTCTTTCTGGTAACAGTTGTGTGTCAAGATCTGTAAAAACTTAGACCCAACGTCTGTTCATGGTGAGCAAGTATGAAAAGATGCATGCACATCTCACATGGCCTGCTACCCCATTTTGCTGTTGTCTTGATTTTACTGGTTATTACTGGGTCCCCAATTGTTCCGCTGTGGTCGTGTGGGAAGAAGGCCACGCACAAGTGTTTGTTCATTTTTGGCCATTTTGAGATAACTGTTTTCTCAGTGACTAAAAGGGACATAATTCGTACATAACTTTGTTCCCAATTTTCTGGTATTTTAACTCAAGTTGATTTATTTAAATGTGACTTCTATCAGAATTATGGTGAATTTTTTATCACTAGGACCTAATGAAAATTTGGAGCACAAAGTCAGTAAAGTGCATAATTTCTGCTCTGCTTCAGTATTTGTATGCATATATGCAGAATACATATATTGCCACAAGGCAGTAATATATATATATAATAAAATGAGGCGTTTTAGAACCGCACCAGCCTGTGTACCCAGTCAACCAAACGTCGTCTTCTTCCCGGACTGAGTGAAACCCTCTGCCTTTGTTTGTTTGTTTGTATCCTCTTATCCATGGCCCGTACCCACTCTGGGGGATTGGCCAAGAGAACATATAGTCTCATATGGACGATAACTGCATTATTGCTTACAACGAAAAAAAAGTGGAGGGGGGGAGTTGTAAGTGAAGACAGTATGTTAAAAAAAAGAAACCAAAGATTTAGATAGTGAGAAAAAAGAATCAACAACAAAGTAGACACTAATAGCTATAACTTGATTTTGGGAGGCGACCAGACAGTTGGTTTTGCCAAGCCCGATTAATTTGGTATGTCACGGATTTATCCAGATTTGAAAATCGCTTTTCGACCCGTTTTTTTTTTTTTTTTTTGAGTACCTGTTGACGTGGCTTTATGTTAACTTTATGTTAACGTGGCGTTATGTTGAAAAACATTTAGAGACGAATAAAATTTCACACCGCATCGAATGCATCTCTGTGGCAATTTCCCAAAACAGAGGCACCAAAATTTAGAACATTTTCTGTGGTTAAATTTAAACCTAGCTTCGCAAATGGAATATCTAAAAGTCGTTTCCTAATTAATGCATAGTTACGACATAAGCCAAAATAATGTTCAATAGTTTGATTCTTCGCAAAACAGACAAAGGGGGGAAAGTGTCAGACCAGCTCTGTTTAAATAAAAATTTAATGGGGGGACACGGCACCGGAATCTGGAGATTATAATTTCAAGTTTTTTTGACGGACTCCACTGGGTTTTCCATGGAAATTTGAGGAAACTTAGACCCAACGTCTGTTCATGGTGAGAAAGTATGAAAAGATGCATGCACATCTCACATGGCCCCATTTTGCTGTTGTCTTGATTTTACTGGTTATTACTGGGTCCCCAATTGTTCTGCTGTGGTAGTGTGGGAAGAAGGCCACGCACAAGTGTTTGTTCAATTTTGGCTATTTTGAGATACTGTTTTCTCAGTGACTAAACGGGACATAACTTCGTTCCCAATTTTCTGGTATTTTAACTCAAGTAGATTTATTTAAAGTAGATTTATTTAAAGCCCTCTGCCTTATTGAGTGGCACTCATCTTATTCACTACATTTCCCTCCCCTCCAGAAAAGAGCCATCCTGGTGACTCATGGGCTGGAGACAATAGAGGGATCGTGATACGGTTTTAGGCGGCCTATGTGGACGGTCTCACGTCCACGGCGTCGTTGATCATGGGGCTGCTCAAGCGGCTCCGCGATTCAATTTGCGGGTGATGTTTGTTTAACCACACGGTAAGGGCCGTTATATTTGTACATCAGTTTCGTTGAGAGACCAGGGCTGGTTGATGCGATGCGAAGCCAGACAAGGTCATCCGATGCACAAGAAGCCGGAGGCGTTGGGCTTTCGCGGTGGTGTTTCTGGCGTTGCTGTTCAGCACTTGTGAGGGAGGGGGCAAGCTGACAACAGACACTCTTCCACGTATTTAGCAGCTAGTAACATCGTCCTCGACTCAGCAACATCCGGGCCATAAGAAAGGATGGTGTCTAGCGTGCAAGAGGGCTCGCGACCATAAAGGAGGAAGTGCGGAAAGAACCCAGTGGTTGTCTGGATAGCAGTATTATGCACGTATGTTACAAAAGGGAGAATACTGTCCCAGTTGGAGTGATCGGTTGCGACGTACATTGACAGCATATCTCCTAATGTATGGTTAAATCGTTCTGTAATGCCATTAGTTTGGGGATGATACGCGGCGGTGGTGCGATGAATGACTTGGCATTCCTTGAGAAGCGATTCGACGGCGTCCGACAAAAACTCACGCCCTCTGTCACTCAGGAGTTCACGTGGTGCACCGTGACCTAAAATAATTCGTTGCAATATGAAACGACTGACGTCACTTGCTGAGCGGAAGAGAGTGGTGAAGTTTCTGCGTAGCGCGTAAGGTGATCAATGGCAATGATTACCCAGCGATTTCCAGCGGGTGTAATCGGAAGAGGTCCATACAGATCGATACCAACACGGTCAAACGGTCGGGCAGGACAAGGTAAAGGTTGTAGTGGAGCTGGAGAATGTGGAGTGGGATTCTTTCGGCGCTGACAAGCGAGACAGGAACGTACGTAGAGACAAACAAAGCGATACATTCCACGCCTGTAGTAGCGGTGGGACGCGCGGGTGTAGGTTTTTACCACTCCAGCATGGGCGCATTATGGGTCGGCGTGAAAGGAGGCGCATATATCTGAGCGGAGACGTCTGGGAATAACTAGGAGCCATTGGCGTCCGTCGGAGCGATAATTCCGTCTGTATAGCAAACCATCTCTGATAACGAAGTGCTATATTTGACAGCGCATACCTCTAGGGATGCTTTGCGAGGGAGTTCGACTCGACAAGTTGATAAGTGAAGCGATCCAAGGATCTTTTCGTTGCTCCTGTAGCATGTCACTGACACTAAGTGCAGATACGTCGGGGCAGGCGAAGACGCCAACTTGTCACTACATCGTAGAGGTGATTGGGACAAAGCGTCTGCGTTGGAATGTTTTTGCCCAGATCGGTAAATGACGTGAATGTCGTACTCTTGTAGCTGAAGCGTCCAACGGGCGAGCCGGCCGGTGGGATCTTTCAACGAGGAGAGCCAACATAATGCATGATGCATGAGAGTCTAGCCATATGATGGCTAGACACTCTTTTTTGGTGACGGGATAGTTGGCTTCTGCTTTTGGGAGTGCATGGCTGGCGTAAGAGACGACGTACTCATCAAATCCAGGTTTACACTGGGGGAGCACAGCACCGAGACCAACTCCACTAGCATCCATGTGTCGGGCCAAAAGCATCAAAATGTTGCAGTATTGGAGGTGACGTAAGAAGGTGGCGGAGTGGGGCGAATGCATCATCACAAGCTGATGAACAACTAGAAAGGTCGCTGTTGCCGGCAAGAAGGTCAATCAAGGGCGATATGATGGAGGCGAAGTTGCGAATAAAACAACGAAAATATGAACATAAACCGAGGAAGCTGCGAAGTTCTTTTAAGGTCTTTGGCTTAGGAAATTCCGCAACGGCACGGAGTTTCGTCGGATTCGGAAAAATGCCATCTCTAGATACAACATGGCCCAAAATTAGGAGTTTTCGAGCGCCGAAGCAGCACTTCTTCAAATTGAGCTGTAGACCGGCGGGAGGTGAAGCAAGTAAGCACTGTCTCGAGGCGCTGAAGATGCGTTGAAAAATCGCTTGAAAATATCACGACATCGTCTAAATAACACTGACATGTCTGCCGTTTCAGGCCACGGAGGATGTTGTCGATCATGCGCTCGAAAGTGGCAGGCGCATTGCAGAGCCCGAATGGCATGACATTAAATTCGTATAAGCCATCGGGAGTAACGAAAGCCGTCTTGGGGCGATCAGCATCAGCCATGGGAACCTGCCAATAACCTGAGCGCAGATCTAGTGTCGAGAACTCCGCACCTTGTAAGCAATTAAGGGCATCGTCTATGCGAGGTAGTGGGTAAACATCTTTGTGCGTGACCTTATTCAACCGGCGGTAGTCGACACAGAATCTTATTGAGCCATCCTTTATT